GTGTGTGTGTGTGTGTGAGAGAGAGAGAGAGAGAGTGTGTGTGTGTGTGTGTGTGAGAGAGTGTGTGTGTGAGCAGCTGGAGTTCCTCCCAGATGGCATCTAGTTTGATGGGCCGGTTTAACTGGAAAGGCTTCAGGCGTTTAGAGACTGGTTTACGGTGCTGGTAATCACAACTGGTTATCCACTGCGAGGAAGTGAATTAAAAAGACCATTTTTGTTCCGTGGAATCTTCCCTCCAGCAAGGGTTGGGAATCGAGAACCGGTTTCTCTTTGTTCTAAAAAAAAAAAAAAAAAAAAAAAAAAAAGTGATTTTTATAATAGTACATGCGTAGGAGTGTGATTAGTGAAGTCTGAGTAACTGAACCCTGTGAATGCATTTCCCAATTAATACTGTCCTTTTTTTTTTATTAATAAAAAAATAAGAATACTGATGATATTAATATTGATGAAACAATGTCCAGCCCCAGTTAGTTTTCATTTCAAAACATCAGTTGCGGTCACTTGAAAAGTCTAATTTCCGCTTTGGTTCTTCGGTCAGGTGTGAGCGTCTCGCTCAGTTTCTGTAACGTCGTCTCGCCTGCTTTCTTTCAGGTCCCTTGTGGCATCCACCCACAGCTCTGCTGCTGTAGACAGCATAACCACACCGTTCACCAGCTCACCAGAACCCCTGACCCGCTCCGCTTCGCCTCTGACCCTCTGCCATGTCTGTGGTGTCTCAGATGAGTCTGGAGGACGTGGGGGCCCTGATCCTGGGGCCCTCATCTCTGATGGCTGACCCCTTTGGGCCCCTTCTGGACGAAGATGAGGAGAGCGCTCTGTCGGAGGGGTGGTCGTCGCCCCTCTCCTCTTCCTCCTCTCTCTCGCCCCTCTCTCCCTCTCACGCTTCTGTAGGGTGTAAGTCTGAGCTGCTGGCGCTCTCCTGGCCGCCGCAGAGCAAAGGTGAGGCTTCACACTCAGCCCTAAGCTCTATGCAGCACACTCGTGCAAAACAAGGCCTTGGTCAGTGTTGTGATTGCTTTTGGTGTGGGTCAATTTAATGGGTCCAGGGTTATTAAACTTAATTACAAGTGTAAATTAAAAAATAAATTTAACAAATGTATTTGCCGAGGCAACTTGCCTTATTTTAGTCTAATTTGATGTACTAAAATAAGTAATACTAAAACTGAAAAAGTAATTAAAACTATATAGGCATATTAAAAAAAATTAATAATAAAATTGGCAAAAACTTTTAAAATTAAAGCGGAAATAATAAAACCACTCAATGCACTCTAATAGTGTCTTGATGCTAGAATAACTCTAAATGGAATCATTAGTAAAACCAAATGCACAATGTGTATATTGTTTTTCAGAGATTTACTGCTGTTTTGTTGGTGAACACTGCTTGCAATAAAATATTCTAAAAGACCATACATTTATTTTTACCAAACTAAGACTAGAACTGAAAAATTAATGTACTATATTGAGAGAAACTAAAAAAAACTAAATTACAAACGGTTAAAAATTAAAATGAAAACAGAAAATATAAAAATAAAGTTAATCCAAAACTACATCTGTGACGCTGCAGCACAAAAGCAGTGTTGAGTCGCTGGGGGATATTTGTAGCAATAGCCAACAATACATTGTATGGTAATTGTAATACACTTTTATGCCAAAAATCATTAGGATATTAAGTAAAGATCATGTTCCATGAAGATATTTAGTAAATCTCCTACCGTAAATATATCAAATCTTAATGTTTGATTAGTAATATGCATTGCTAAGAACTTCATTTGAACAACTTTAAAGATGATTTTCTCAATATTTAGATTTTTTTGCACCCTCAGACTCCAGATTTACAAATATTGTCCTCTCCTAACAAACCATACAATTATTAAACCACTCAATTAATCTCAATAAAAATATTGACCATAGACTGGTTTTGTGCTCCAGGGTCACAAATAGTATCCCAGTGATGCTAAAATAACACCAAACGGTAGTAAACGCAGTTGCTTTGGAGTGTGTTGTGGTGCACATTGGGTTTCAGAGATCACTAGTACTCTTTGTAGGTGAACACTGCCGTTTACATGTGTAGCTCATTCCAGTTAATCAGTGGTAATGCTCAACCGAGCGTTTTCAGGTTAGTGCGTTGCACAGACGAGTGTCACTGGTTGAGCAGCAGTGTTTAAGGGAGTTTTCTTCTGCTGCAGTTTCTATACCTAGATTTTTAAACCAGCGTTTAGTAAAATTCTCTCTCTCCCTTCCAGCAGACGATGTGTTTTCTGGCATGGATTGGATGACGGAGAAGTTAGACCTGAATGACTTTGACCTGGATTCTCTCATCGGATCATGTGATTCAGACGAGCCTCCCGGTTCTCCAGAAGAGCTGCTGGCCTGTCTGGACACCGAGATGGATCTGGACCTGGATTCCCTCCCGTTTGGCTCAACAGAGCTGAGCCTGGCTCTGCCTCCGCTGACCCTCGACCTTCAGGGGCCAGAAGAGGTCAAGTCTGAGCCTCTGGATCCCAGCTTCACACTGGAGTCCGCCGAAATCATGCTGACTCCATCCCACATCGTGCAGCTGCTGACTCCCAAAGAAGAGGCGAGCGGCGCCGATCCGTCCGACAGCGACAGCGGGATCTCGGATCCCGAACCCTCGCCGAAGCCCGCGGGCTCCTCCAGAACCAAACCCTACTCCAGACCCGAGCCGGATGCTGTGAAAGCCGCGCCCGGTGCTCCTAAAGTGGTGGAGAAGAAACTGAAGAAGATGGAGCAGAACAAAACGGCCGCGACGCGCTACCGGCAGAAGAAACGCACCGAGCAGGAGACGCTGAGCTCCGAGTGCGCCGAGCTGGAGACGAGAAACCGCCAGCTCCAGTTCATGGATTATCTCTTAAACTCACTGATCAGCTCAGGCTTCTCTTGGAGAAGAGTTTCACATCTCCATTTAAAGCTAAAATTAGTTTGTAAAAGTGCCATTTCACACATTTTGCAACAAGCTGACTTACTCTGACATGAATAAGCCATATATGTATGCTGCACTATTTTTGTATTGCACTGTGAAACTAATCAGCAAGTGCTCTGACAATGTGAGTGTAGCATCATTTCAGCTGAAGACTCAGTGCAGTGTGGTTCAGAGCGGGTCAGACCGGTTCAGTCCAGCAGCAGGAACTCTCTGCACATGATCGCTGCATGCTTGTGAACAGATATGCGTTTGCCAGCAAAAGATCAAACTATTTCAATGACTGAATTCAGTTGTTTTATAATGGTCATTTCCAACTCACTCTGCTGTTAAAACAACACCACAGACTCCAGAGCTATGCTACGGCGATCACCCGCTTTATCTCTGCTTCTTTGCACAGGAGGACGCTAAAGAGATCGTATTTTTAAAAGAGAGGAAGGGTCTCTGGACTTTCACATCTGAACACCTGAGCATTGGCGCCACCTGCTGCTCGAGATGACCCCCACCGCGCAGTTCCGCTTCCGGCTTCAGCTCCAGCTGCTGCTGTCCGGCGAGCCATGAGCAGGTTTGGGGTTCTGATGTTCCTCTGAAGCTCTGCAGGTGTGATGAGAATCAGTCCGAGCTACGCTGTGTGCTCTCTCGTACTCGGAGGTGTTTTAGGAAGGTAACGTTACAGAAATAACGATCTGGAGAGTGTTTCTACTCTGCGTGTTGAACAGCATGCTATTATGATGCAATGTTTGAGCAAAGCGTGATACATTATGTTTTTCAGGATTCTCAGATGAACAGAAAGTTCAGAAGAACAGCATTTATCTGAAACAGAATCTTTTGTAACATTATAAATGTCTTTACTGGCGCTTGATCAATTTAATGCGTAAACGTATTCATTTGTTTTCTTTTATATCTTACTCCTAATTTTTTTAAACTTTTAAGTATCACAGTTTATTCAATATAAACTATATAATTAAAATGAAATTTCTGGAGCAGCAGATCAGCATATTAGAAGTGGAGGAATAGTGGGAAAATATTTATTTAGGAGTCTTAGACCTTTCCAATGATATCTGTGACGCTGCAGCACAGAAGCAGTGTTAAGTCGCTGGGGGATATTTGTAGCAATAGCCAACAATACATTGTATGGGTCACAATTATACATTTCTCTTTTATGCCAAAAATCATTAGGATATTAAGTAAAGATCATGTTCCATGAAGATATTTAGTAAATAAATCAAAACTTAATGTTTGATTAGTAATATGCATTGCTACGAACTTCATTTGAACAACTTTAAAGATGATTTTCTCAATATTTAGATTGTTTTGCACCCTCAGATTCCAGATTTTCAAATATTGTCCTATCCTAACAAACCATACATCAATGGAAAGCTTATTTATTCAGCTTTCAGATGATGTATAAATCTCAATTTACAAAAATGGACCCTTATGACTGGTTTTGTGCTCCAGGGTCACATATAGTTTGTCATGATTAGATTAGGATTTATTTGTAACACAGAGAAGCAAACTTAGGTGTCCCTCTGAGGCGACGGGTGACAGTTAAGAGGTTTAATATCCGCCTCCTCCTTCCTTTCACTCCCAGAATGTCGTCGTCGTTGGTGTCTGGGCTTCAGGACAGGAGTGTGATCTGGGAGACGTCAGAGCTGTCGGCGCATCTGCACTCCTCCCCATGGACTCCAGGGGTCGCTGTCGTCACCCAGAAGAGCTTCGGCGGCACTGCCAGCCTCTTCCACTTACCTGAGGATGCATTTCTGCATCTGCTCCTGGGCGCAAGATCCGTCGCGCACCAGCTGTGTGAGAGTCTGGCGGTGCAGCGCTGCGCTTTGGTCTATACTCCGCACAAACGGGCCGGAGCCGAACTCCACGTGGTGCCGCTCCACGGCCTGCAGTCAGATTGGAAACCTCACCTCGCTGCGGAGGAGGATTTCCAGGCGTACGATCCCGGATACGTCAGCTCCAAGAGCGGGACGCGCTGGACGGATGAGGATCTAGACGCCATCAGTAGCAAAATCCGGGCTCAGCTGCCAAACCCGAACGCGGCGCCCAACTACACCTTTCTGGGTGATCCGTCCGACCCCGGGCTGTTCCCACGCATCGTGCGTGGAGAAGAGAAGCAGTGGAGAGTTTGGGAAGATGAAGAGCATGTGGCCTTCCTCACGCCGTTCCCCAACACGCCCGGACTGACCGTTCTGGTCCCGCGGAAGCCCCTCTCCAGTGACATCTTCCGGCTGGAGGAGGGCGACTATCGGCGGCTGGCGCTGGCCACTCGGAAGGTGTCCGGGCTTCTGGAGGCGGGGCTTGGCGCCTGGGGGGTGGGGCTTATTTTTGAGGGCTTTGAGATTGATTACGCTCATGCTAAGCTGATTCCGCTTGTCTCTTCGCCTGATGAAGCGGAGACGAGCCTCAGCTGTCCGGCTCCGGAGTTCTTTGACCGCTATCCGGGTTTCGTGACGTCCGTCAGCGGTCCGCCAGCCAGCAGGGAGAGTCTCCACGAGATCTGTGCCAGAGTTACCCCGCGCTAACTAGGGTTGCAAAAAGTACATTTCGGAAACATTCCAATAATTTTGGAAAGTTTCCAGGTTTTTTTTTTTTTTAATCATCCGGGAATTTTTGGAAAGTTTCCGGAAATTTACCGGAAATATTCCACCCCTCTTCAACCCTAGCGCTAACAGCTTTCTATCGAATTAATCAGCAATGTTTATAGGAATGGCAGAAATAACTAGTGTTTGACCGATATATTGCCAAGGCCGATATATCGGCCGATATTTGACATTTTTCAAATATCGGCATCAGCCGAAGTGTTCGAGACGGGACCTTTATTTTGTCAGCACCTGATCTAACACACTACAAAAAATGATTTCCTTCCTTAGTATGTTTGTCTTGTTTTCTAGTTGAAATATCTACAAATTCTGGAATTAAGATATGTTTACTTAACAAGTAAAATTACTTATTTTGTGTTGTTTTCTGAAAATATTATTCAAATTTTGTTAGTTTTTGCTTAAAACAATCAAAAATATTTGCCAATGAGGTAAAACAAATAATCTTGTTCAGCCTTTGAATTAAGATTGTTTCTTACCCCATTGGCAGATACAAATGGAACAGCACTGGCGGTGTATTTACAATAAAATGAAATATGATGGCAAACACCACTGCCTCTTGTCATTTTAACATATTAATAGCCACAAAAATGTATTTTAGGCACACGTACATATTTTGATTGCCTTCACTGAATGTATACTTAACAAAACAAAATATAAAACACAACGCTCTTTTAATTTTCATTTTAAAAATATAAAACATATTAATGCTTTAATGATTTTGTCATATACTCGTTTTTAGAGTTAGGTGTGCTTTACACGGTTTACACCGTTCAAATGAATTACTTTGATATTTCGCAGTATTTACACGCATGCAGCTGCGATAGATCAGAAGTGAAGAACAGGTGAACACAGACATGCAAGTATGTTAAATATGGAGTTCCTTTATGTATCACACATTAGCTAATATTCATATTTCTTGTCCTAATGTGACCATCTCTAGCAGTCCGAGATCAATGACAACACAAGCTTACATGAGCTTCTACTGTAAATGTTTTTCGTGTTAATTAATCTCGTAGCATCATCTACAAGCTCGTACCATCTGCGCCACCTCAGTCCGTTCTTAATTAATCCCCAGGCATTTTAATTAACGTCTTAATTAGTGACTCGTTAATGTTCTTAATTATGCATCTGGAAAGCTGGTATCTAACCTGTGAGAAGTAAAAGAAGCAGGTTATCTGACACAAACACAACAATGAGGAGAAGAAAGTGAAGTTCAGATTTGTTCCCGGAGTCTGAAGATCAATCAGAAGAGAGTCACGAGGAGTTAAACAAGCAGCGGAGAAACAGGCAAACAGGAGACGTCTGGGGAAACACGACACAGAAAACACAACAACCGGCACAGTTTCATGAAGTCAACATGCTGATGACGAGCGCTTCGTTAAATCAGTGCTTCTCTACTGGTTTTGATCAAATCAGAGTCAAGATTTTACATCAGCGCAATGCAGGGATTTACAATTGTAACAAAAGCGAACATTGAAATGTATCAATATTACAGTGTGCGTAGACCCTGAACAGGCCCAGTGAGATACAGAATTATGAACATGGACTTCATAGAAAAATGGTTGCCATGTGGTTTCATGTTCTCCACAGTGAGTAATTCATTGCAAAAACAAAGTGTGTTCAGCTCAAACCATCTTCATCCTGTTCATGTGTGTATTCAATGTTGTCTGGTCTGTATTTTCTTTGAATTTTTTGAAGTTTCATTCATGGTGTTTTAAGATGAAGATAAACTTGTGCCAAAATAATGTGGAGTTTGATGGACATACAATTTTTGACATCAACAAGAACATGGGAATTGCTGTCATAATGATTAAATACGGTTAGTTTTATTGTATTATTTGACCGTGCTTTTCATGCTGTCAGTGCCCCATCACAACAGACCTGAGGCCCATGTTTGGGTCAACAAACACTGGATCTCCAACCCTGCTCCTGGAGAGCGACCGTCCTGCAGATTTCAGCTAATCAAGGTGCTCAGGGTTACTAGATAATTACAGGCAGGTGTGTTAGAACTGAAGTCTGCAGGACAGTAGCTCTCCAGGAGCAGGGCTGGAGATCCCTGGATTAGACCGAGACGCAGACAGTCCAAGAGTCTCAAATCACACACACCTCAGACGCTCACGGTGATGGGTTTCTTGGAGGGACTCTGCAGGCATTGACAGAATGCTGAGCGCTCCATCTTAGAGATGTAGAGCAAAGGCTCGACGGTGCAGCTCAGGTCCATGATGGAGAAGACGCAGAGGCTGATCTTACAGCGGAACGTCACGAAAGAGTAGGTGGAAGCAAACGGCATCAGAGCCACAGGAGGCAGATAGTTCCCAACGATGATGCCGAGGATGAGAAGCACCATTTTAAAAGCCTTCTTCTTCACCGGGTTCATGACTTCTTTCCCTGCGACGCTCTTCCTGAGGACCCAGATGATGGAGAGGTTGAAGAACACCATGATGAAGAAGGCCGAGAGGATGACTCCGCTGAAGACCTCGTTCACGCTCATGACGCCTAAGAAGGTTTTGGTCAGAGAGTAGGCTAGGATGAGTCCCCACACCAGCACCGAGATGCCGATCCGGATGCGAGTGTCACGGATCCCGGTGAAGAGAATGGGATGGACCACAGCGATGTACCTGTCCAGACAAATACAGGTGAGAAATAACGGAGTCACGTCTTTGAGTCCGTAGGCGAAACGCACCGAGTACCAGATGGACGGATCGTTGAAGTACAGCCGGTTGGAAAGGTCGACTGGCGTCATGAGGCCAAAATAGGCGTCGAGGATGGAAAGGTTAAAAATGAAGATGTCTGAAGTTGAGCCTTCACTCTTCTTCCTCAGAATCTGCCACAACACGAGGGCGTTCAGAGGAACGCCTGCAACCAGGTTCAATACTTTCACTCCAAAGTACAATAGAAACCAGTGAGGAACCTCCGCACACGCCTCAAACTGGTACCATGGTAGACGGTGCCACCCGGCGACGCTGGAGTTCAGGCTCAAAGCCGAGGTGTTTGCCATGATGATGAAATGAGCTGCGGACGTCTGTTATGATGATCTGTCTTTGACAAGTGACTGTTATATCTACTGAACTTCAGACACGTCACAAACAAAGATTTGAAGAGTTTGCCTCATCGAGTTAAATATCGCTTGTTCAATACAGAGGCGTCTGCTATAGTGCCGTACGATTGTCGACGTTTCTCTGACCAGAACCCAACTTGGACGCATCGTCAGTTTGGCGTCTCTCTCTGGGCGCTCCGAGAAAAGCTCTTCCCGCGGGAGACAGAGGTGGGACGTTTTGGATGCAACCAATTGTTGCAGTTCTTTCGGGTCAACAAGAAGATCTCGTCTGTGATAGGACGGAGAGGAGGGTCTGTTTGCGATAAAGTCTTTGCTGTTTGATGAAAGAGGACGAATTAATTTTGTGATGTAACTGCAAGAAGAGCTTCACGTAAACAGGTGATGCAAGAAACAAATCTACCGTAACATCTTGCAAATACACATTTCTGGCTCTTTGCAACAGACAGGCTTTTCAATAGAAGTGTCCTCGACTGTCACAACTACTCTATAGAGCGATAAATATTTCCATGTTCACCATGTACCAAAACACGGTTTTATTTCAGTTGATTTAGTGGTGAGTGCAACCAAAACCTACTCCAAATTTAGTTTGAATCCTGTTGTGATTTTATACAGACGCTGATCCAGTGACTGGTCTGTTCACTTGTATATTCTCATTTCTCACACATACATATATTTGATGCATGTTTGATATTTTGGATTGAATGTCAGTTTGTCTTTTTCAGTCTATGATGCAAGTGTTCCGTGTTTCCGTCCACAAGTGAGTTTCATCTGTATGTGTGAGAACTCTACAGTGTGCCTTTGTGCATTTGACATTGATTTCACTCATTCAGATGTTTTAATGCATGGGAGTTTAGTAAAGCTTTGTTGTTTCCCTTACTGATGACGAACCAACGTAATGCAACATTTATGCATTTGACTTTTCCTTTCATGTTCATTTTCTAAACAAACAGCATCAGTGGAGACTGAATAGATCTTTGTCTCTGAAACTGTACTCGTGTGCTCATTTATATACTTAGTGTTCATCCCGTGTAAAGCTGTGGAGTTTTAGGAATGTTTCAGGTTTTTTCATATGCTCATATGTAGAGCCGTGTATGTCATATCAAATCTGTGTGCTTTACAGTTTTCACTGAAGATAAATTTCCCTCTTCTGTTATTTTGATATTTCTGAGGTTTTACACATGTGGCTGCTATAATTCAGAATGGAAGAATAAGTGAACACAGACAAGTATATCATTTTTGGAGTTCCTTTATGCATCAGAAAATACAGCAACTGTTCATATTTCTTGTCTATTATGCTCGGGTTATTAAACCATCTCTAGCAGTCCGAGATCAATGACAACACAAGCTTACATGAGCTTCTACTGTAAATGTTTTTCGTGTTAATTAATCTCGTAGCATCATCTACAAGCTCGTACCATCTGCGCCACCTCAGTCCGTTCTTAATTAATCCCCAGGCATTTTAATTAACGTCTTAATTAGTGACTCGTTAATGTTCTTAATTATGCATCTGGAAAGCTGGTATCTAACCTGTGAGAAGTAAAAGAAGCAGGTTATCTGACACAAACACAACAATGAGGAGAAGAAAGTGAAGTTCAGATTTGTTCCCGGAGTCTGAAGATCAATCAGAAGAGAGTCACGAGGAGTTAAACAAGCAGCGGAGAAACAGGCAAACAGGAGACGTCTGGGGAAACACGACACAGAAAACACAACAACCGGCACAGTTTCATGAAGTCAACATGCTGATGACGAGCGCTTCGTTAAATCAGTGCTTCTCTACTGGTTTTGATCAAATCAGAGTCAAGATTTTACATCAGCGCAATGCAGGGATTTACAATTGTAACAAAAGCGAACATTGAAATGTATCAATATTACAGTGTGCGTAGACCCTGAACAGGCCCAGAGAGATACAGAATTATGAACATGGACTTCATAGAAAAATGGTTGCCATGTGGTTTCATGTTCTCCACAGTGAGTAATTCATTGCAAAAACAAAGTGTGTTCAGCTCAAACCATCTTCATCCTGTTCATGTGTGTATTCAATGTTGTCTGGTCTGTATTTTCTTTGAATTTTTTGAAGTTTCATTCATGGTGTTTTAAGATGAAGATAAACTTGTGCCAAAATAATGTGGAGTTTGATGGACATACAATTTTTGACATCAACAAGAACATGGGAATTGCTGTCATAATGATTAAATACGGTTAGTTTTATTGTATTATTTGACCGTGCTTTTCATGCTGTCAGTGCCCCATCACAACAGACCTGAGGCCCATGTTTGGGTCAACAAACACTGGATCTCCAACCCTGCTCCTGGAGAGCGACCGTCCTGCAGATTTCAGCTAATCAAGGTGCTCAGGGTTACTAGATAATTACAGGCAGGTGTGTTAGAACTGAAGTCTGCAGGACAGTAGCTCTCCAGGAGCAGGGCTGGAGATCCCTGGATTAGACCGAGACGCAGACAGTCCAAGAGTCTCAAATCACACACACCTCAGACGCTCACGGTGATGGGTTTCTTGGAGGGACTCTGCAGGCATTGACAGAATGCTGAGCGCTCCATCTTAGAGATGTAGAGCAAAGGCTCGACGGTGCAGCTCAGGTCCATGATGGAGAAGACGCAGAGGCTGATCTTACAGCGGAACGTCACGAAAGAGTAGGTGGAAGCAAACGGCATCAGAGCCACAGGAGGCAGATAGTTCCCAACGATGATGCCGAGGATGAGAAGCACCATTTTAAAAGCCTTCTTCTTCACCGGGTTCATGACTTCTTTCCCTGCGACGCTCTTCCTGAGGACCCAGATGATGGAGAGGTTGAAGAACACCATGATGAAGAAGGCCGAGAGGATGACTCCGCTGAAGACCTCGTTCACGCTCATGACGCCTAAGAAGGTTTTGGTCAGAGAGTAGGCTAGGATGAGTCCCCACACCAGCACCGAGATGCCGATCCGGATGCGAGTGTCACGGATCCCGGTGAAGAGAATGGGATGGACCACAGCGATGTACCTGTCCAGACAAATACAGGTGAGAAATAACGGAGTCACGTCTTTGAGTCCGTAGGCGAAACGCACCGAGTACCAGATGGACGGATCGTTGAAGTACAGCCGGTTGGAAAGGTCGACTGGCGTCATGAGGCCAAAATAGGCGTCGAGGATGGAAAGGTTAAAAATGAAGATGTCTGAAGTTGAGCCTTCACTCTTCTTCCTCAGAATCTGCCACAACACGAGGGCGTTCAGAGGAACGCCTGCAACCAGGTTCAATACTTTCACTCCAAAGTACAATAGAAACCAGTGAGGAACCTCCGCACACGCCTCAAACTGGTACCATGGTAGACGGTGCCACCCGGCGACGCTGGAGTTCAGGCTCAAAGCCGAGGTGTTTGCCATGATGATGAAATGAGCTGCGGACGTCTGTTATGATGATCTGTCTTTGACAAGTGACTGTTATATCTACTGAACTTCAGACACGTCACAAACAAAGATTTGAAGAGTTTGCCTCATCGAGTTAAATATCGCTTGTTCAATACAGAGGCGTCTGCTATAGTGCCGTACGATTGTCGACGTTTCTCTGACCAGAACCCAACTTGGACGCATCGTCAGTTTGGCGTCTCTCTCTGGGCGCTCCGAGAAAAGCTCTTCCCGCGGGAGACAGAGGTGGGACGTTTTGGATGCAACCAATTGTTGCAGTTCTTTCGGGTCAACAAGAAGATCTCGTCTGTGATAGGACGGAGAGGAGGGTCTGTTTGCGATAAAGTCTTTGCTGTTTGATGAAAGAGGACGAATTAATTTTGTGATGTAACTGCAAGAAGAGCTTCACGTAAACAGGTGATGCAAGAAACAAATCTACCGTAACATCTTGCAAATACACATTTCTGGCTCTTTGCAACAGACAGGCTTTTCAATAGAAGTGTCCTCGACTGTCACAACTACTCTATAGAGCGATAAATATTTCCATGTTCACCATGTACCAAAACACGGTTTTATTTCAGTTGATTTAGTGGTGAGTGCAACCAAAACCTACTCCAAATTTAGTTTGAATCCTGTTGTGATTTTATACAGACGCTGATCCAGTGACTGGTCTGTTCACTTGTATATTCTCATTTCTCACACATACATATATTTGATGCATGTTTGATATTTTGGATTGAATGTCAGTTTGTCTTTTTCAGTCTATGATGCAAGTGTTCCGTGTTTCCGTCCACAAGTGAGTTTCATCTGTATGTGTGAGAACTCTACAGTGTGCCTTTGTGCATTTGACATTGATTTCACTCATTCAGATGTTTTAATGCATGGGAGTTTAGTAAAGCTTTGTTGTTTCCCTTACTGATGACGAACCAACGTAATGCAACATTTATGCATTTGACTTTTCCTTTCATGTTCATTTTCTAAACAAACAGCATCAGTGGAGACTGAATAGATCTTTGTCTCTGAAACTGTACTCGTGTGCTCATTTATATACTTAGTGTTCATCCCGTGTAAAGCTGTGGAGTTTTAGGAATGTTTCAGGTTTTTTCATATGCTCATATGTAGAGCCGTGTATGTCATATCAAATCTGTGTGCTTTACAGTTTTCACTGAAGATAAATTTCCCTCTTCTGTTATTTTGATATTTCTGAGGTTTTACACATGTGGCTGCTATAATTCAGAATGGAAGAATAAGTGAACACAGACAAGTATATCATTTTTGGAGTTCCTTTATGCATCAGAAAATACAGCAACTGTTCATATTTCTTGTCTATTATGCTCGGGTTATTAAACCATCTCTAGCAGTCCGAGATCAATGACAACACAAGCTTACATGAGCTTCTACTGTAAATGTTTTTCGTGTTAATTAATCTCGTAGCATCATCTACATCTACCATCTGCGCCACCTCAGTCCGTTCTTAATTAATCCCCAGGCATTTTAATTAATGTCTTAATTAGTGACTCGTTAATGTTCTTAATTATGCATCTGGAAAGCTGGTATCTAACCTGTGAGAAGTAAAAGAAGCAGGTTATCTGACACAAACACAACAATGAGAAGAAAGTGAAGTTCAGATTTGTTCCCGGAGTCTGAAGATCAATCAGAAGAGAGTCACGAGGAGTTAAACGAGCAGCGGAGAAACAGGCAAACAGGAGACGTCTGGGGAAACACGACACAGAAAACACAACAACCGGCACAGTTTCATGAAGTCAACATGCTGATGACGAGCGCTTCGTTAAATCAGTGCTTCTCTACTGGTTTTGATCAAATCAGCATTTCAAATAAGAGCAGTACTCCAACCATAAACCCAGCATCATGCAACACGGCGCTACAATTGACATATTAAACATTGAAATGTATTAATATTGTAATAAGTAGACCCTGCAAAGGCTCAGTAAGATGAAAAATTATTTACATGACTTTAACCAAATTGAAGTGTTTCTATGCAGCAGACAGTTCAGAGTGAGCGAACGTTATGCATTTTTTGAGTGTGTAGTTTTGTTCATGGTTTGAGGATCAGAGCGTCACACACCCCGTCCAAGTTGATCCATATGTCTAGTTTGACTTTTACCCCTATAAAGAGAAATCTTACTGTTGTAGGATGAATATTGTAGAGTTTGATGGACACACAACCTTTGACATCATCAGTAGCTATGCATATGGTAGGTGTTTTCTCTTTTCTTTATTTGGTTGATGAGTATTTTACTGTTAAATTTTTTTGTTTTGTTTACTTTTTTGCACTTAACATTGTGTTTTCCCTCTTTCAGTGACCAATCATGACAGACCTGAGACACGCCAGTTGAGAACCACAGAAAGATACAATGACAACCCAAAGGTCTACAATCACACACACAAAATCAGACAGTTTTTAATTTCAGACGCTCACGCTGATGGGTTTCTTGGAGGGACTCTGCAGGCATTGACAGAACGTGGAGCGCTCCATCTTAGAGATGTAGAGCGAAGGCTCGATGGTGCAGCTCAGGTCCATGATGGAGAAGACGCCGAGAAGAACCTTACAATGTAGCTTCATGAACGAGAAGGTGGAAGCAAACGGCAGCAGAGCCACAGGAGGCAGATAGCTCCCAACGATGATGGCCAGGACGATAAGCACCATTTTAAAGGCCTTCTTCTTCACCGGGTTCATGACTTCTTTCCCTGCGACGCTCTTCCTGACCCAGATGATGGAGAGGTTGCAGAACACCATGATGAAGAAGGCCGAGAGGATGACTCCGCTGTAGACCTCGTTAACGCTCATGACGCCGAAATAGGCGTCGAGGATGGAAAGGTTAAAAATGAAGATGTCTGACGTCGAGCCTTTGCTCTTCTTCCTCAGAATCTGCCACAACACGAGGGCGTTCATTGGGAATCCTGCAACCATGTTCAATACTTTCACTCCAAAGTAGAAGATGAACCAATGAGAAGCTTCCGCACACACTTCATACTGGTACCACAGCGGACGACGCCACCCAGAGACGCTGGAGTTCAGGCTCAGAGCCGAGGTGTTTGACATGATGATGAAATGAGCTGCGGACGAGAATAACTGTTATCAACATGAACTCGAGACCTAATCGAGATACTTCATCACCAGAATGACGACCAAGCCATATCTGACAATGATTTCAAAAGTTTGTCTCTGAGAACCTCATATAATCAGGTTAAAGGGGTCATGAGGATTGCAGCTGTCTTTGATCTTTTCACATACTGTATAAGAGGTCATTGTCCTTTAAAGACATGCTGTAAGTTACAGACCTCAGAAACTCCTTCTGAAACCCAGCTGACAAAACATCAGTTGCATCTCAATTCACCTTCTTATATTACAGGTTTTTTTTGTGAAGGAAAATGTACATACATATGAGCAAACTACCACGTCATAAAAATGCATCTTTAACCGCTTGGTTGCACGTCACCATACATCAAATTAAGTTAACTGAACAGTCAGAGTTTAAGTTCATTTCATTTATTCTACTCAACAATTATTTGATCTGCCAGTTGTGAGTCTTTCATGCAGAACCTGCTTGTGATTTTGCTTAATGATTAGTTTGCATCTGTCCTGCTCTTAATAAAAGTTCACAAAGTTGTTGCAGATGAAATATAACCCCTTTATAACCGTCTGTGTCATGTACATCACATACACTATATGGACAAATGTATTGGGACCCTGCCCCCTTCTTTAGAACAGAAAAGGGCACATCCAAAACGGTGGCGACAAAGATGGAAACATAATTCATGTGTTTAAAAATTGTATTTTCATCTCTGTTGCAACAGTTTTGGAAGTGCCTAAAATGACTGTAGCCATAAGTCACAGGTGTTTGGTGATGAGTTTTTGGTTCAAGGTCTGCATCTAAAGTCCAGTCCAGTTCTTCCACGCTGACTCAATCAATCATTGCTTTTTGAACCTTGCCTTATACACAGAGGCATTTTTGTGTTATAATAGAAAAGGCTCCTGTCCAAACTGTTGCTATAAAATGAGAAGCACACAATTCCCTGGAATATCATTATATGCTCCAACATTCAGATTTGTACTCATGCAAATGACTAAAGTAGTCAAACCTGTTCATTAGAAGGATACTTTTGTCAGTATAGTGTACGTGTTTGTAGTTCTCTTTATTTGTGCTTGTAGTCGGCACATGATGGAGTGACATTAAGTGACTTTTCAAGCATGCATTTGCTACTTTCCTCATTATGAAACTGGAGAACATGTCAAAATGACGTAAGTTATACAGAGACGGAAGATATGAGGACACAAGCAGGTATTTATGCTGTCTTCACATGCTGTCGGATTTATCGTAGTTATGAGTTTCCTATTCGGAAATTGGACATGAACGGCCTCTAGTTGTATTTACAGCTGAGAAACTTTGATACCTGAGTTTCTGAGTTGGGCGAGCCATAAACTTCAAATACGGTGGAGGAGAGAAACAGCAGCTTTGTAAAGTTAATCTACATTGCTCTCTCCTGCCATTACATTCATGTATATTTATATATAAATAACCATTTAATGCATATTGTATGTATTGAACGCATTGAAAATAGCATTTATTTGACCGAACTGTAGGAATCGTCAACAAGCATATCTAGATAGCGCTGCGAATGTTTATATGGTTATCAATGAATGTGACGCTACTTTTTGATGGATATTGACTAAATATCTTCTGATCTATACCTTTTGGCTTTAATAAGATTTCCCCGAGAAACAGGCAAGAATGAATAGGCTGGCTGTCCACCATGATTTCTGTTCTTTCCGACAACAAAGCTCTTGAACTTGACAAACTCGTAATTACAACTTCAGAAGTAGGACGTTTCTGATAGCTCTTGAAGGCAGTATTAGTCCTATACCGGCACTGTTCGTAAAGATCCTAAAGACCCCAACCCTCATCCAACACAACTGAACCAGCTAATGAACATCTTCAGGATCTTCATGTGTGGTAACATTTGTATCATTGGAGAAGTGTTTAATGCACTGGAGCAGAACACATCCCTGACCTGCTGCAGAGCAACACTGTCACCTTGTGGGCTGCTAATGCCACGAGTTTAACCTGCACTGACGCCTAAATTATAAGTAAATACAGAGTTGTTGTTTTTTTTGTTGAAAGATGAAGCAGTGCAAACTCTTGCACAGCAGTCACATCACAAACCATAAGCGGTTTTATAGTGCTTTGACTGCAAATCTATATCTGTATAATCTGCATAAGGATCATACACAATGTTACTGCAGGAAAGATGCAAGCTTTGTTTCGAGATGTGGTATAATCCAGCCAGTCTAGTGAAAAGTAGCATCCAAGCGGCATTTGAAATCTCATTGAAATATAGTAATGTGTAAACAATATGATATATGCATTAAATCCAGCAGAAACTCAACTTTTGGACAATTTTGGACAACTTCTTGTCAATCCCACAGTTACCCGCCCATAGGAATGAACAGACTATATATCTGCTAAAATCTCAGTGCTACCTTAACTTCTGGTATGTATTCTCCCATAGAAACTGTGGTAGTAGCAAACTCTTCTGTCATATTTCTAATTACAACTAATTGTATTCTATTACAATTAGGGATGCACCGATACCACTTTTTCCAGTACTCGCCCGATACCGATACTTTTATTTTTGGTACTTGCCGATACCGAGTACCGATATTTTATTGCATTTGTAAATTTTTTAAATATTGGGTACAGAAACCAAAAGAGTATGTATAATGCTAGTTGGTTAGCTTCATTTATCAAATAGATAGCCAAACTAAAATTTATTCAGACACCTTCAACTTTTCTCACATTATCACAGTTTATTCGCTAAAGTTTAGAAAATGGTGATAAAATATAACAAGAACTCAGAGTTACACCGTGTCAGAACAAATTCATCTTGATAATGTTAGATCACTTTGATAGAAAGGTATGTAATAGATTACAATCAACCAAAATAATTCAGACAGCTGTTAGTATGACAGTATTTACACAACTATAAGCCCTGAGCCTCAGTGACCGCCTGTGGTCTCCTGCGCATGCTGTCACACAGCTTCATGCAAACCTCAACTTCAGTTTTCTCCCAGACTCCGTCTGAATAATTTTTAGAAATTTTACTGGTAGTCCACCGTATGAAGAATGTTTGGGTATGATTTGTCACAGTTTATTTTATTCTGCTATCCTCACTTACATAAATGAACTATAGTGTCCTGCGCCCTCTAGTAACAAAATATCAAACATTATATCTGGTCTGAATAGTTTTTGATTTCACTGTATATCCTTCGGTTATTTCCACACTTAATTATGCCCATTAAAATGTATTTCACAAGTTTTTGTTACTTTCACTGTTCATTGTTTTGCTCTATGATACATAATCTTTACTGTAACAGCATTAGAGCTGCTCCATTGCAGCGGCTCAGTACTGTAATCACACGCTCTGCTGTAATAATGCAGGGAACCACTCGTTATTAATCTCCTAACTGTGATATTTTCAGAAATAGAAGTCGCGTTTTTCATCTGAAACGTGCTGCAATTTATATTCCAAAGCCCCTCATATAATGCAGAAACACTCAAGCAAGCTAAACAGAGCAACGCGTGCAGGTATTGGTACTGATGCAGAATAGTACAGCCCAGCGCATTTCACACAGGCTGCCTGATTCACTTTCGCCTGAAAGTTGTGTATGCCTAAGGTTGAAAATAGATGATGTTTATAGTGAATTCTCCTATGAATGGTCTTATTTTTACGATTTTGTTTTAATCCAAATGATGCAGAAGTGAACAGAAGTGCTCTCTCTCTCTCTCTCTCTCTCTCTACCGTTAAGTAACTCGTGCATTGTCTTACTTACTTGTTTTTGACGTATCCGACCGAACTACAAACTCTCCAGTGATGTCTGTGAGAAAGATATATTCACTCGCCGCCGCTAGCTCAATCCACTCGGCGTGCTTTGCTCATCAGCTCGCGTACATCAGCTATACAGGCGTTAATACTGAATGATTAACATTATATTCATTGCATACATATACTTTGTGTCTGTTGTTCTGTTGTCTGTGTTTCTTTGTCTGAATATGGCGCTTATCACATGCTGTGTGGTATCGGCGTTTGGTATCGGGGCATTTTAACGAGTACAGGAGACCAATATCGGCCCGATACCGGGTGCATCCCTAATTACAATATGTGACCCTGGAGCACAAAACCAGTTTTAAAGCAGCACTGTGTAACTATGTAACGCGCTAGCGGTTAATAAACAGAACTGCACACATCCCGCGGAGGAACATTCCGACCGGAGCTACTTCTCTAAGTTCTGTCTCCGGCGATTCACGCAGGTGTGTGTTCCTCCGCAGCGGTGACCAGCCTACAATAGTCCGAACATAAGCACTTACTCGCTCATTATATACATTTAGCATATTTTGAACACAGAAAAAGTTACATAGTGCTGCTTTAAGTGTCTTTAAAAAAATGTATGCATCACATGAAAGCTGAATAAATAAGCTTTCCATTGATGTATGGTTTGTTAGGATCGGACAATATTTGGCTGAGATACAACTATTTGAAAATCTGGAATCTGAGGGTGCAAAAAAATCTAAATATTGAGAAAATCATCTTTAAAGTTGTTCAAATGAAGTTCTTAGCAATGCATATTACTAATCAAACATTAAGTTTTGATATATTTACGGTAGGACATTTACTAAATATCTTCATGGAACATGATCTTTACTTAATATCCTAATGATTTTTGGCATAAAAGAGAAATGTATAATTGTGACCCATACAATGTATTGTTGGCTATTGCTACAAATATCCCCCAGCGACTCAACACTGCTTCTGTGCTGCAGGGTCAC